CAAGATTGGGATTATTAGTGTACCAACCACTTTGCCATTCAGCAGGAATTCACTTGGAGCTGGTTTCCAGGATGGTGGTACAGCACCTCCACATTTTGGTGTTGGAGGATTCCTACATTTCTAGGTTGACTTCAGAAAATCCCAAGACTTTAAGGCTTCCATGGCCTTCTATCAGGTAATATCAAGCCTGACACATAGAAGAATTCATACATTAGGACTTGTGTTGTTTTACAGCAATCCTTATGTAGTGATTCTATCGTCTGGTTGCTATGTCAGATCATTTAAATTGCATCAGTATTCATTTTGAATTAAATCACCTAAAAAGAATATTTGGATTCTATAATTAGTCTGTTCAGAACAGAACAGAACAGAACAACAGAGTTGGAAGGGGCCTTGGAAGTCTTCTAGTTCAACCCCCTGCTCAGGCAGAAAACCCTATTGCATTTCAAACAAATGGTTGTTCAATCTCTTCTTAAAAACTTCCAGTGTTGGAGCAACCCAACTTCTTGAGGCAAGTTGTTCCACTGATTAATTGTTCTAACTATGAGGAAATTTCTTCTTAGTTCTAAGTTGCTTCTCTTGTTTGTTAAATAACAGAATAACAGAACGAACCTTGGAGGTCTTCTAGTCCATCCCTCTGCTCAAGAAAGAGGTCCTATACCAGTGATGGCGAACCTTTTAGAGACCGAGTGCCCCAAAACTGGCCCTGCCACTGCTCCACCCCCTGCCTGCCCATGCTCCACCGCCTACACCACCACTACTCAGCCTCACCCTGCCTGCCCGCAGGGCCCCTCACTGCCTCCAGGACCCACCGCAGATCACCCAGGCAGCCCAGCAGCGCCATGGCAGCCACACCCTCTGCCCACACCCCGCAGCATCAACTGTGTGCATTGGGGTGTGACGGCAGAGTCTTGTCTACACTGCCAGGCTGCCATGTCCTTGGCTGTACTGCTCCATGTGGGCCACACTCAGGGGCAACTCTCCTCCAGGGAGGCTGCTGGTGAGGAGGGGGTTGTGGGCGGAGGCAAGGCTGGGGCAATGGCACATGTGCCCACAGAGAGGGCTCCGAGTGCCGCCTCTGGCACCTGTGTCATAGGTTCGCCACTACTGTCCTATACCATTTCAGACAAATGGTTGTCCAACCTCTTCTTAAAAACTTCCAGTGATGGAGCACCAACTTCTGAAGGCAATTCTATGCAATTATACAACTAATACACTGATTAACTGTATAAATGTACAATTATATGATTGAAAAAAAAAGAATCATTAAGAGTTGAACATTACTTCCTCTGAAACAACTGCACTGGCTTCCAAATCTTTTTTTGGTAGATTCAAAACACAAATGATGGCCTTTAAACCTTTGAATAGTATGTGACAGGGATATTTGAACACTTGCTTTTTCTCAAAAAATGTACCCATCTGTTGATATTCAAAAATATTCTTGTGTAACCCTTAACTTCCCTCAAGCCACTTCATTGAATTTTGAGATAAGACCTTTATTCTTAAACTTCTTTTTTCAGAAGAAGCCATTTCCCATTTTTGCTAGCAATTTCCCTGAAATTAGGGAAAGACTTCAGTGTGGAATGTTTATTTGCTATTTAAATTGACAACTGTCTTTCAATTTTAAGATTTTTTTTTATTGTTGTGACAAGGTGTTTTTTATTCTGCTAATACTTTGTATTTCTTTCCTTCTGGAACAATAAATGTTATATTTTAATAAATAGTTATTACGAGTTGTCTCAAAGTTGATGATGGGAAGGTGGGATATAATTACTAGACATAAACCAACACACTCCAAGATTAACTTTTAACTCATTCTTATCTCAGTCTTTTCCATTGCCAATACCTCTCTCAGGAATACTCTGCAATTAAAGGCATTTTAAATAGACCTATAGATATGCAAAATAGGCAAGGTATAAGAAGTGAAATTAATAGACTTTCAGAATTAAGTTTCTTAGACATTTGACAACTATAATTTTATATACAAATATAGCTTGCACAATTATTACTCTTGCAAATGCAAATTTATGACAAACTGCTTAAGAGTGGAAGGCACCATATGATACCATTCCCCAAATTAAAAACCAATTACTTTAACCTACCCTACACTATTGTAAATTCCTTTGGCTCTGACTGCACCTTATTCTGATATATTCTCACTGACTAATGGTTACTTGGCTCTAGCAAGAAAATGAATTGATGCACAAACTGCTGACCGTTATGGATCCACAGAATATGTCTGAAGGTTAACAAGGAAATGCAGCTCTAACCTTATTTTTGGCACTTTTCATAATTTAAATAAATTGGTTGTATTTAACAAGTACAGGCTATAATAAGTAGCTGGACATTTTAATGAATAATATTCCTTTATATATCTTATTATAAGAAGGTAAATCTCAATGAGTTTTGCATTGATTGTACATTTATGGAAGTAGGTTTAAGAGAATTAATTGAAATACTTTTACCACTAGAGTACAATATGAATTTTCAGTACTCCCATGACACCTCAATACAACACAGAGAGAAATGTCTGCCTATATTTAATTACTAAAATAATTATAATCACATTAAATACCTATAATTACAAATCCATTATTTTAACTGAAGTAAGATATGGAAGGCACACTTGTAACACTAAACAAAAACATTTAAAGATGAGAAGACAGGTTCAAAATGAAACAATTTTCTCTGATACACATAAGGAAACTAAATCCCCTTGTTTAAATATCCATCACTTTATCAAAGATACAAAAATGTCTGTCTGTCTGTCTGTCTATCTTTCTATCTTTTTCTTATGGTATGGTATTGCGCAGTATTTGATCAGAACTTTCAACAATTTATTTCCAAAATAAGACAATTAAGAAGTATTACAGGATTTGATATTTTTTTTAATAGGAAATAGTAAAATTTCCAAATGAAGTTGTAAAACTATATATTGGACTCCAATATGTTCTATAAATACTTTGTTCTTTTAATTATCTTTGTTTATCTATTTTGCACATGCCTAGTCTCTGTTTAGATTCTAAACTATTTCCTTCAAGGACTTTGGTAATTATTATTTCAATCTGAGTTATTTTCTTTTGTCTTATTATTTCTCAGCATTCCCAGATCAATGTAAGATTATCAGAGATATTGAACTCTAAAAGTCAGTCTGGAAAGCTCTTTCCAAAACCTCTATCTTTTTTTTTTTTTTTTTTTGTAAATTCCTCATGGTTGAGCTAGAGGTATATTTAAGACTTGCTGAACTAAGTCGATCTTTTTTCAGCTTCAACTTCTTCACCGGTTATGGGATTATGGAACATTAGGTTTTATAATTAGTTGGATCCATTCTTCCCTCTATCCATACAATATTTCTTAGACCACTGGTTGCCACACCATCCCAAAGCACAGTAGAACTATCCCTGAGTTTAGTAATATTTTCTTTAAATGCTTCACCCTATGTGTTCTATGTCTGGACAGCTCAGTTTTGTTTCATCAAGCCCAAACTCTTTGTTCCAAAACTTTTTAGGATGATCAAGATGCTGATTTTATCAAGTTGTGTGTCTCTGTGTATCTGTGTGTCTGTGTTGGGGGAGGGAGGTTGTTGGTTGGGTATTTGATATATGTTAGATAGTTACTCATAGTGGACAAAAACATTCCTCTCCCATTACAGCCATTATTGTATAAGCAACATTATACTGTAAATTACTACTGTAACAGTGTCTGTTAAAGGTCTGAGTAGGTAATTTGTAGTGATCATTTTGCAGACCTGACCTTTCAGGCAGTTCTGGCAAAGGTTTTTCATGGTTTCTAGAGCTTCCTTTGACTTCCATCTAACTTCAATTTCTTAACATTTTTTCAAACAGCTGAAGTTGCCAGCTGGATACATTTAGGGATTATATATAGACTTCCTCTGCTTTGTAAGAGTGGATTCTTTTCATTTTCAAATGCTGAGACAGCTGCTGAGAGAAGCCCATGATGGTAGAAAAACTATAACACCATTTATCACATAAACAGGTAGAAATGTTAGAGGATTGTCTTCCCTTGCTTAATTCTAGATCTAATGAGTCAATTGTTTTGGGGATTTATTAATAAGTTTAAAGCAAGGAAAAAAATAGCAGAATCAGCTGGAAAGCTTTCCAATTTCTCCAATTGCCACATTCACTATTTTTGTATTTCAGCTTTCTAAACAATTGCATGTTAATAGTAAGTATGCATCCAAACTTCTTGATATATTCCTATATTGCATTCAGTATATAGGAAAATGCACAGATTTTAAACAATTGTTCCCTGTCTCTAACACTGTCAAACGTCTTGGAATGTTCCAGTCCATTGTTCAGAAAACAGTTTGCAGCAACATTCAATATTCATTCCCCAAACACTGTAATTAAATCCCTCTGAGACTCTAAAGTAGCCTAGTTAATTCTTCTTGCTGTCTACCCTTGTATATGAAAAAGGGAAAGCAACACGGCATTATTTCCTAAAAAGACTTGCTACTATTCTGAATTCCTCCAAAGCAACAAATTTCCCACGAACTTGGGAATTGTCAATATTTCAGAGAGAACTACTTTTCACACAAACACACACACAAACACAAAATAATTAAACATAGAATAGCTTCAACTGCCCCAGTTTGAACCAAAATTCAGCCGAATTAAACTCATAATCCTATAAAACAGGAAAAAAAACTTGTGTCTTGCTTCTCTTATAAATACATTCTTAGACTAAGTTTAGAAAAATGTAATCAATCTGTTGTGAACATCATCATTGCAGAAAAGAAAGAAATGTCTAAAAGTTGACATGATTACAGGAAAAACAAGAACACCTTCAAATATCTTCAAAGGAAATATACATATACTTTTATATTCGGTGTAGAATAAATCCCTAAGAATTGGTTGCTCTACATTGGTTTTCTGCAGTATTTTATAGAAAAATAATAAAAAACACTGTTAATTATTAATATTATTACTATAAAATATATGTAAGTAAGTTAATTAACTACTAATTCTAATACTTATGGATTAATAGCTTTCTTTCTTTTCAGCCTTTGGGCTTAGCAGAATCACGCACTCTATGAGATACAACATAGAAAAATGGCAGAAATTTTCTAAACAGAAAAGCACCTTACCTTTGAAGAAACAGTCTTTGCTGTGAATAATGTAAATTTTCTTCTTTTTCAAGCATGAAGCTCGATGCAGTTCACAATGATTTTCATAGAATTTGCCATCTGATCCACATACTGGCATGTAACTGGGCTTGCAACCATTTACGCATCTACATTCAGGTTGATTAGTCTCCTTGTTCACAACACACTGACTTCCCCGTTCACAGTACTTTTTTTCACACAATGCATGGAGCCCATCTTGCCCATAAAGCACTGAAAAAGCAGAAAAAAATTCCCAGTATTAATAATTGAACATAATCACTGGAGGAAAATGTTTTATAGGTGGTACCTTGATCCACAAAAGTTGTCTCGTATGTATCCGAATGTACAGCCCAAATGTTGGAGATGTGGTTGTCTGGACGCAACGTACTATCATATTTGGTGGTCATGTAGAAATGTAAAGGCTTTTTGGATTAAGATTTGGTGGAACATTCAGAAGATTTTTAATAGAAGGATAAAATTTACACCACAATTATTTTTGTTAGGTATTATTGTAGACTGTGATGGTAAAGAGATTACCTTAATGTTAAATTTTATTACGGCGGCAAGGTTGCTGATTGGGCAATATTGGAAGAAGGATTCCTTGCCTACTATAGAAGAATGGTTTCTCAAAGTTTCTCATTTATCAGAAATGGCAAAAATTTCGGCTTATCTGAAAGACCATTCACAAGAGAGAGATATTTCGGTGTGGAAAAGATGGGTAAATTTTGTACAGAATAAATATGGGATTAGGAAGTATTATTTAATTTTTGAATAATTTATAGTTTAAATTGGGTATGGTTGGATTTGTAGTTTCTATGTATTGGAGTTAAAGTACTTTAATTTTTTTTTGGGATGTATGTATAGTGGATTGATGTTCATTTAATTTGTATGTTTTTTTTTGTTTCTTTAACCCTGTATTCAGCTCTGGGAAGGAGGGGGGAGGGTTATGGGGTGGTAGGGGAATATTTTATTATAAAAAGTTTATAAAAATTTTCAATAAAAAAAAGGAAGATATATTGAATGTAGACATGTTTCACAGGGAGGCATCCCTGGAAATGGGCAAGATTACATCTCTTGATTTCATCTTAATATATAAGGTATATATATTAGGTATATATTAATGTATAAGGTAAAGTTCTCCCAATGAAGGAATAAAAGATTTTCAGTGGGAGAACTGAACAGTGAAATCACACAAGTGGCTTTTTGAAAAGATTCTACATCATCAGACTTTAGATAATAATATAGTATTTTTTCAAGACTCTTGTGCAACCTACCATGTTATTTAATCTGTTATTTAACATTATTCTTATTGATAATGGCAGGCCATTAGCCTGGTAGATTTGTATCCCTCTTCCAACACAGTTACCTTTTTTTTTTTCATTGCCATCAATAATTAATTAGCAAAACACAAACCCATAAGCCTATGGATGTTTAATGCTAGCATATAGAGTAAAGATTATCTTTAATGCATTCAGTTTAGAAGTAAGAATTTTTTTCCCAAAGATATGTCCATAATAGCATATTGCAAGTCTTTTTAAGGAGCAAACAGTTAACAGCAGTTATTGCAGAAAATGTTAAGCAAATGGCTAAATAATGCTATCTACAACAATACTTGCTATAATTAAGCCCTGATAAGGCATTCAAATATCTATCATGGGAGAAACAGGGAAGGACTGCTTGACATTTCAGCAACTTCTTAAGTCAAACTAAAAGATCTGGAAGCAGGTTGTAACTGTTTAGCCAAATTTGGTTGAAATTCATTTTCAGCCATTCCAGATCAAAATGGGAAAGGCGGACTGGTAAAGAGGGTACTCAACTTCTAAGATTAGAACTTTGAATGCCAGAATATGTTTTATTATAGCATTTATATATTTTATATCATATGAGAAGTGGATGTACAGTGTTCATGAATAATGCTCATGCAGATGGAATAAATTGGGATGAAACACTCCCCAAATCAATATTTTAAAATAAGAATCTGACAAAGCTGTCGGGTTCTTCTTGAACAGCTTTATTTTTAAATGTACAACTGAATTGACTGACATTGTCAGTCTCCAATCATTAGCATAATTTTGACAATTAGAAGATTATTGTGTATTGCTAATTGTAATAAGCGTTAGTTAGAGCATCACAAAGGATGGTGTAAAAAAACAATCAAAATAATGGTTGATTTTCAGTATATTGTTTGCTTTAACTCTCTTGCAACGTCTCACTGTCATTGTTTCAAAAAGCTTCAGTATAGAAGACAGAGATTCTAATCTAAGTGAAGCCCACATTGATTTGATATATCAAATGACATAAATCAATAGCTTCACATGTTTAAAAATTATATATTTAAAATTATATATTTAAAAATTATATAAAATTATATATACTCATTTATCAATAAGGGCGGGTTTCCAAATGGCTGGTAGGCGGAAGTTATCATCTCGTTTATTCATGCTGTGTGGGTGTTTTTCTATCTCGATGGCTTCTCTGATTATTCTGTTATTAAAGTGTTCAGTTTTGGCGATAGTTCTGGTCTTTTTAAAGCCAGTTTCATGTCCTGTGGCTTATTGACAAATGAGTCCCTAACACAAAGAATGACACCAGATCCACACTCACGAAAACCACACAGGATGTCACCACCACACATCCACGAAAAAGCAAACCCAAACCCACATCGATGATGAGGCATGACCACAAACCAGAAGCCAGACCACAGCTGCATCATTAGCCACTTTAAACCCCTCCAATCCATATACGAAGCAAACTGACACCCACCATGAAGATGAGGCACGACCACGAACGTGAAGCCAAAAAACAGCAACGCAGCTCACCATCTCTAATCCACCTGCAACTCAGAGTAACCTGAGCACAACAAAGCCCCCATCCAAACAGAACACTCCCCCATCCAATCAGAGCACAGCCAACCCCCCATCCAATCAGAGAACAGCCAAGCCCCTAACCAATCAGAACACACCTCCAATCAATAAGAACACAGCCAAGCTCCCACCCAATCAGTTCATACCCCCACTGGCAGTTAAAAGGAAGAAACAGCTATGATCACACATTGCTCCTAGAAGCACAAAGCTGATAACACCAGAATATATATATTCTGACAAGTGTAGTTAAACCTTTATTTTCACCACTGTGGACACAAAGGAAAGGTATCTCGTATTGGAGGCTTAACTGCTTCACTCAATAACTCATTAAAATTCCACAAAGCTTGAAGAAGCTGAGGAGTATTGACATTTTTCCTGAATCATAATAAACTAGAAGGTCAAAGTGTCCAAGTGGCATGAAAATTACAGTCCCTAAGTGGCATATCTGAATATCCTTTATTCGCTTTACTAATTTTTCAATGTGCCCCTGAAACAATATTCATGGAATTGCTAATAGTAACCTATATACAATCTGACTTGCCAAGGTCACTTCCAATTATGGGATATACAATCCTTAAACACATTGTTCAGTACTGAATAGAGAAGCCCTTCAGAAGAAAATGAGCACAGTGTTAATCATTAAATTCATTATTACCCTAAAAAAAACTTGAAAATTTATTCTGAAGATTTTTTGTTTTTTTAGAAAGAATCAGCACATGCATTGAAGCTGGTTTCTGGACTAATATAGACTTTGGGAAGCTCTAAATCAGGGGTGTCAAACTGCCGGCATGCGGGCCAGATGCGTCATGCCAAAACTGTGCCCACCCCTTGCTGGCAATGGGAAAAAAGTTGCGATATGTCGCGACACATCACGTGATGTTGCGAATTTCACACCCTTGCTGTAAACTATCTTCCTGGAGAGAGGAGAAGGCTGCTTGCCAAAACTCTGCATAAGCCTCCCATATTGTATGATTCATCAAAATATTTTGGCCATTGCTTAATGACAAGAAATGAGTGTCATTGGGTAATGAAACAAATTAATATTTAAAAGAAGCAACAGATTAGGGAGTTAACTTTTAGGGTTTAACTTTTAAAAGAAGCTATAACTTAATAGCAAAGGTCTACCTACAATGTACAGGTGGTCCTCAACTTACAGCTACAGTTGAGCCCAAGATTTCCATTGCTAAGCACTTGTTAAGTGAAATTTGCCCCTTTTAACTACCTTTCTTGACATTGTTGTTATGTGAATCACTTCAGTTGTTAAGTTAGTAACATGGTTGTTATGTGAATCTGGATTCCCTGTTGACTTTGCTTGTCAGAAGGTTGTTAGAAGGTTGCAAAAGCTGATAACATGACCTCTGGACACTGCACCATCATAAACACATGCCAGTTGTCAAACTTCCAAATTTTGATCAGATGATCACACGGTGCAATAGTTGTGTGAAAAACAGTCATAACTCATTTTTTTCAGTGACACTGTAATTTCAAACAGTCACTAAACAAATGGTTGTAAGTCAAGGACCAACTGTACTTACTTTATTTGAATTCCGCCTTTATTATTTTTATAAATAATTCAAGGCAGCAAACATATCCAACACACCTTCCTCCTATTTCCCCAAAAGAACTCTGAGAGGTGAGTTGTGCTGAAAGAGTGCTCAAAGTAACCCAGCTGACTTTCATGGCTTAAGGAGGGACTTGAACTCACAATCTCCTACTTTCTAGCCTGGAGCCTTAAACACTAGATCAGGCATGTCAAACTCATGACGTTAAATAACGTCACGCAACGTATCGGGGCGGTTTTGCTATTGCCGGCAATGGGGTAGGTGTGGCTTCCACATGACACGTCCACCGTGGGCCAGCAGTTTGACACCCCTGCACTAGACCAAGCTGGCTAATTGGGAAAAAAAATGTGGCATTACTAATCCCAATGTAATATTAATATGTATCATCATGCTGAAAATTAATGATAGAATAAAAGACAAAAATAAGATGCCAGTCCATTTTGCAAAATATCTGAACCATAATAAAATCCTGCAGGAAACAAATGTTTTAGTCCAGCTCATCCTTTCCATTTTTTTCAGAGAGGACTTCCCTGCCCAGAGACCTTGAAAATGCAGGTGAAAATATCCACATTTCAACATTTTTCATAAACTTACTGCATTTTGCCCATGTCAAAAAATATCAACCTCACCTACGACATTCAAAAACAGCACCTGCAGGTGCTGAGAGTTAAAGAAAGATAAGAAGCTGGAGTCTTAGAAGACTTCCAAATCTTTTCTAATGCCCACAGTTAAGTGTTTGTTATGGGATTGTCCAGAAATAACTAGTCTGTTCATTGTACCAATGTGCTTTGTCCAAAAGGCATCT